GTTGAGCTATAGGCGCCGAGCCAGGTTTCTGAGTTCTTTATGTGCATGTTTTTACCTAGACATCATGATGTGTATTGAAAACACCTTCACAACAGAGTCTAACTCTTATTTAAATAATAGGTGCCCAAGCCTCGCACAGACTAAACACTCAGTAAATAGAGTTTCATTCCTTGTATCAAAATTTGTTCAACAGTTACTGTATGGCATGCACGGTGGCTTGGGAATATGGAGATGAAGAAAGTCATGATCCTTAATTTATTAATTTATTAATACATTTTAATAAATGTATTTATTAATTTATTTTATTATTTATTTTTATTTTTTGAGACAGAGACTCGAACTGTCGCCCTGGGTAGAGTGCACTTGCATCACAGCTCACAGCAACGTCCAACTCCTGGGCTTTAGCTATTACCTTGCCTCAGCCTCCCAAGTAGCTGGGACTATAGGCTGCCTCTAATTTAAAAGAAAAAAAAAGTGCTGTGGGGAAAAGACTGTTTGCATTCGGGCCTTTCGAGCCTCTTGTTGGATGGCATTCCTGTCACTCAAGGTCAGAGAGGTGGGGTCTTAGGCCCTATCCAATCAGGGATGCGCCAATATGAACTGTCCAATCAGATGCACAGCCAGAAAGAAGAAGGCGGTACCGGGAATTCTGAGCAGCGTTTGTCTCTGGAGCTGGTCTGCGACCTGGCGCCTCCTCATCAGATGTTCCATCTCCTGGAGATCCCAAGTGTCTCTGCAGCAGCCTCTGTCACCCTGTGACCTGCAGGTACTGGGAGATCTGTAGGGAGGACACCGGGACATCCCGGGAGCTGCGAAATGGTGAGTACAGGGGACTGGGTGTCCTGAGAGGGGGAGGGTCGTGGTTGGGGCCCGAAGTGGCTGTGGCTGGACCGGGCCATTTCCCTTCAGTTTTAGCGTCTTCAGACTAAAGTTTGTCACCGGCACCCCTTGGCCCACGGAGCCCACTTGGCAAAAGGTGGAGTCGGGGCAGGGAGTTGGGACCCTGTTGCTCCAAGTGTTCCTGAAGCTGTTACGGGGACCACGGCCCAGAGCCCTCTGAGCAGCCTTGTGCCTGCAGGCCCCGGCGTCCCTCCCTCGGGGTGACAGTAGAAGGGTCCTCAGGGGAGAATCCCAGCTGAGTGTGTGGGGTTTGTTCATGGAGGGGCTGTAGTCTGTGGGGCCCTCAACCCCTCCATTCTTTTGTTAAACACACTGAGGTCCCCACGTGGTGGCTCACTCTGTTGCCTGTCGTTGCAGTTAAACACGGGGACAGGGAGTTGAAGCGTATAAAAGCTTTCTTATCGGAAAGGCTAGTAATTCCGGAGAATAGCGGAAGTAATTTTTTAAATGCTGGTTTTTGTATGTAACAAATTTTAATCCTGTATTTAGGGAATAATTTCACAAGTATACTAGAAATATACTTATGTGATTAACAACATGTAGGCAAGTTAAATATATATGAGTATTTAAAAGTAATCAAAAATCATCATCAATTAAACATCTTTAACATGCTATCAACTTGTTCTATGGTGCCTCGTTACTTCCTTGGTTTTTTTTTCCCCACGATTATCATCTTCATTCCCCATTTCTGGTTTGGCCTGTCTGACTGACTTACTCTTCCTATGGTTCTAAGTGAGTTCTTAGTTCAGAAATAGCTAAGAAAGTTTGTGGGGGTGTCTGTGTGTACTACATTCTCTACTTTTACTTATTTTATTTTCTCAATTGTGAAATGATTAAAAATGAAAATAACTTTAAATTTGTTATAGTTAGTTAAATTGACATGCAGGTTGTACTAGTTAATTTCGTTTTTGAAATTTGTGAAACAAGGCTGGACCTGGTGGCTCAGGCCTGTAATCTCAGCATTCTGGGAGGCCGAGGCCGGTGGATTGCCTGAGCTCCTGAGTTTGAGACTAGCCTGAGCCAATTCGACAGCTCCTCTCTAGAAATAAAAGAAAAAAAAATAGCCCGGCATTGTAGCCAGAACCTATAGTCCCAACTACTTGGGAGTCCGAGGTAAGAGAATCACTTGAGCCCAAGAGTTTGAGGTTGCTGTGAGCTATGATGCTAGAGCACTGTACAGTGGGTGACAAAGTGAAACTCTGTCTAAAAAAGGAAAAAAAGAAAGAAATTTGTGAAACAGCCAGTACATATGAGTGGTATACATTGTATTTTGTTACATATTAAGAAGCTTATGATATATAACATAAGAATAACTATAACTGTACAGACTTAGGTAATGTTGCATAATTATGACAATACTTTAGATAGGAAGTATTGGACATTCTGAAAAATCTTGTTTGTTGTTTTATTTGGACTATGTCTTTTATACATGTTTACTTGTTTTTAATGAGTTGGGAACTGTTAGATAAATTGATGCGGTATATAGATTTTAAAGTTTTTACATCTATGATTGTGTTTTAATAATCAATAATGGCTGCATGACCTTTTAGTATAGCTTGTCAGACTTAATTTTAATCCAATGTTCAGAGTGTTTATGGCTTGAGAACTTCTATGAAGGGTCTTGACGATGGCACAGGCCAATGGACTGATTTTCAGATTGAGTCCAATAGCTATTGTTGATATGACAAAAATGGCTACAGTGGTGTATTTAGCAGGGCTAAAAAGGTGTAGTCGGCTATTACAGTTTTCAGGGTGTTACTTAAGTTACTTTATTTTATTTTATTTT